CTATTCTGGTTAGCAACTTCATCTTGGGTTAGTTTTGATGATTTGTGGATTTGAAGAATGGATGCATTTCATCTAATGTGTTGAATTTACGAGCAAAGAGTTGCTCGCAGTATTCCCTTATCATCCCTTTAACATCTGTGGGGTCTGTAATGATAGCCCCTTGCTCATTCTTGATACTAGGAAGTTGTGTCTTCTCCCTTTTTTCCTTGTCAGTCTTACTAGATATACTTTCCTTCCATTAGGGAAACAAAAATTAAAACCACAACTCACCCAATATGAAATAGATGTTTTCAACAGCCCTGTGACTATTAAGAAAACTGAATTTGTAGTTTAAAATCTCTCAAAAAAGGAATCTCGAGGCCCAGATGGTTTCACACGGGAATTCTACCAGGCTTTTAAAGAGAAATTAACACTAATTCTACACAATCTCTCCAATAAAATAGGAGGGAATCTACCCGGTTCGTTTTATGAAACTTGTATTACCCTGATAAGGACAAAGAAACAACAAAAAAAGAAAACTACAAGCCAATATCCCTCACGAATGTATGTAGAAAAATTCTCAACAAAATATCAACAAATATAATTCCACAACATATAAAAAGTATTATACACCACGGCCAAGTGAGGTTTATTCCACGATGCAAGGCTGGTTCAATATTTAAAAATCCACCAATGTAATATACCATATCAACAAGCTAAAGAAAAAAAATTACGTGATCACATCAATAAACACAGAAAAGGCATTTGACAAAATTCAATACCCATTCCTGATACAAATTCTCAGAAAATAGGAATAGAAGGAATGTTCTCAATTTTATAAAAAGCATCTACAAAAGCCTGCAGTTACACTTGATGGTTAAACATTACTCCTAAAACCAGGAACTGGCCAAGGAGGTCCACCTTCACCACTTTTATTCAACAGATACAGCTGGAAGCTCTAGCCTGTGCAATAAGAAAGGAAAAGGAAATAAAAGGCACATACATCAGAAAGGAAGAAATAAAGCAGTCCTTGTTTGCAGATGACATCATTGTCTATGTAGAAAATCTCAAGGAATCTACAAAAAATACTCTGAGAACTAGTAAGAGAATTCAGCAAAGTTGCAAAACACAAGATAAAAGGAACTAACTAGATACATTCAGCAGGGAATTATGCTGAGTAAAAGAAGACAGTCTCAAAAGTCTGCATACG